ATATATATATATTTATTAATTATCACTAAAATTTAAAGGGTACTTTTGTCATCTTTATAAGGGATGAAGTTGAAACTTTTACTAAAAGACAAGCGAATATATGCACATATCGTTAAATTTGTGTTTGTTTATATATGTATCTATTGTTTATATATAGAGCCATGTCACTGGTTCCTACCTTTTTAAGGCTTGAAGAATCAGACACCAATACCTGACACTGACACGTGTACATGCAACATAAATACCCATTGGTTGCAGTTTATGGTTGATGTTGCCCTTGGCTATGTCGATCCTCCTAATCCTACATGAGTCGACTCACTAGAGAGACTCTGCATGATAGTGTGGAGTCTAGTCCTCTTTGATGCTCTCCATATGACAGCAGCACCAGGGTCTAGAACAAAGGGGAAGTGGGTTGGTTTGAGTTGGTTGGGTTAAGGTGGAAGAGAAAGAGGAAAAGTTGGGTAGCTTCTAGAACTTGGTTCAGAGCAGTATTTTTCCTCAGGAAAAATTCACTTGGTTCAGAGCAGTAGTTTTCCTCAAGAAAAATTCACTTGGTTCAGAGCAGTATTTTTCCTCAGGAAAAATTCGTCATGAGTGCTAGAGGGTGGTTGTCTGCCATATTTCCTTTCTCCATGAGAACCATTTATCTAGAAATGTGCAAGTGCTATTCTGCCATATTCTATTTACAAGGCACGCATGAGAGGAGAGTGGACATAATTTTCTTGCTCTCAAACTTTGGCTGATTTTTTTCTTTTCCCTCTTTCTTTTATATTTTCCTTCAATTCCTCTAGTTCAGTTTTTCAAAACAAGTTGTGACAAGGAGCTAATCCTAGATGTGGAGAATGAAGATATCCACCTTCTATTCCTAGCATTATTATGATGCTCATTTTGTTGTGAGAAGCAATTTCGAGACAACGACAGAAGATTTAACCTGTTCCTCTGAGTTCACAAACTCTTGAGGAATTCGGGTGGTAGTGTCGATTCTTTTGGACAAGCTATCTTGTGCATAATGGTTTCTCTATATTCAACTGAATGAGGTTGGTAGAAGTTGTTGACATACTGTTTGTACATGTTACCTCTGTACAACTATGTTATTTTAACTTTTCTACCTTAAGTTATTCTAGTAATTTGCAATTTGAGGAGTATTTGGTCATTTTCCTTCTTGAGGCATCTCAGGTTGCTGATAATTGAGTGACTATTGTGTTGTTCATTGATTCAAGCAGTGTTTAAAATAATGGCAATCTGGATGGGATCGCCCCTCAGGATCGGGAACCGGTGGTGACCAACCTGTTCCCTGTTGGATCCGAAAATTGGTCCAGTTCCTATGAAACCACCCACATTTATCAGGGAATTGGCTTATTTGGACCAGCCGGATTGCTCGGTTCTTTTGTTTTTATTTAATTGGTTGGGTCGCAAATTCGGACTAATTTCCTGAATGGCTGGTTCGGCCAACCTATCCGGATTTTAGAACATAGGATTCATGTTTAAGGATTGATTAGTAGCTTAATAGTTTTTTCATATCCTTGAATTGTTAGATGCACTGGGATTTCTTCAAACTACATTGTTCATTTCCTTATACTATCAACTATTGTATAGGGGTGTTAATTGAGTTGGTTTGACCCAACCTGGGTCTGTGTCCAGACCCTGTGGGTCAGGTCTGGTCCATTTGACTTGGACCCAATTGGGGTCAGGGTTGACATCCAACATGGGCTAATTTGGGTTGGGTCGGGTTATGTAATGATATAATTATATTTATTAAATTTATATTTGGTAAAAATATATAATACATTATTTTTTAATATCTTGACTGGACCCAACCTGATCACCCAAGAGGTCAGAGTTGATCCAACATGTTTACAGCTCTGCTTGAGGAATGTTATACTTCTCTGGTCTCTTACAGTGAAACATATAGGTTGCCTGATGTTTGAAAATTCAACTGTTTGCTTGTATAACTTGCTTGTTGGATGCTCAGATTTGCTGGTAAAGAAGGATGAAGGGAACACAAAAACTAGCAATCAAATTCTGAAAGATGGCAGAGACACAGCATGTGATAAGAAAGAACCCTTTGAAGCCAATATAGATGATTGTGTAATAAAGTGTCGATCTGTATACAAGTGCCGCCTGTGCCCACGAATTGTTTGTTTGTCTGAGGAAGTTTTGAGGGCACATCTTAAGTCAAAGGTATAAATTACGTAGAAAGAGATTTTACTCAGAACTTTGCTTTTATCCTTTAGATCTTGGATGCCTAGCTCTCCCCTTCCCCTAATTCCACTCTTTCTTAACTACATTTTCCACTTTTATCTCTCACGTGTATAGTCTCTCTCTGTATACGCTTTCTGCAGTTTGCACAACTAGATGTATGCATTTTAAATCAATGAAGCTAATTATCAAAAAAAAAAAAAGAAACGAAAACATTTGTTGGCTTTGAAGCCAACAATCCGAAGAAAAACGTTTGATAGTCCACTCTATTTACATGTTAGATGTTGTATACCCACGTTTTACATTGTTGAAAAATTGAAATAACCCTGATTATACCTTTCGTACTTTGTACTCAGTTCATTAATGATATATGATTGTTTTTAAAACCAAGCAACTCATGAATTGAGGAGGGGTGTGAAGTGATTTGTTGAATATCAGCATCATATTAGCTTTTCCCTCATTTTTGTTAGCTGTGTTTATTTGGGTCGATTGATTGTAAATGGATAGAGGATATATAAGTTCCAGCTCGTCATCAAGTAAATTAATGCTTTTAGTTGGCTTATTCCACAGTTAGATTGGAACTGGTTGCAAGCTCCATAAATTGTTATTGAAAAGCCTTTCCCACACCATGCTCTTTTTTGAGAAAGTTAACCTGCCTTTTCCCACACCATGTTAGGTGCATCTCAGGTTAGTTTTCCATCTGTAGAGATATGCCTCCTGGGTTAGGATCACCTTTCACCTGGATTAATGAAACAAAACTCATATCATTTGGAGATAATTAATGCTTATCCATAAGATAATTGACTAAATAAAAAAACAACTATAAGAAAAAAAGAAAAGTAATCCAGATTATTTGTCCTCAGAGGCACGATCGCTCGAAGAAGCTTTTTGCTGAAGGGAGGCTAAAATTAATGCTCAATAGCGATGGAGAAATTGAGGAGGACCAAGAAACACATGCAGAGAGGCATGCCCGAACTGTGGCTACTGCACAGGTATCCTTCTTATTCTTGAGTAAATATGATAATTGATATACGGATCCATTTTATAGTGGGCTTCTCGTATGTGCGCATTTTTTTTTCTTGATGAAGAATATGGATGAAATTGATCTAACAGGGTCTTTTTTTTTTTCCTTAGAGTTCATCTAATCCAAAAACGCGTAGTAGGGGACGGCAGCGACAAAGACTGAGGGCAAGAAAGGTAAGATGCCATCATTCAGACTCTTGGCTATTGCAGTACATTAAGAAAACATGAAAAAGGCAGATTTTATTATCAGAAGAAAAATAATGAGATCTGCAGTCTGGATAATATTTTGGATTGATGAATCAAGATGGATTTTCAGAAAATGTTGAATGGACGAATGAAGGAGAGCAAATCAAAGGGGCCTGCAGATTCTCCAAAGAAGAAAAGGCACAAAGCCAAGGACTGAAGGCCAAATCAAGATTTTTGACTGGTATACCTTCCCTTGCTTGGAAACTTTTACTTTTCGAATCATTTTTGCTTTTGATAGAATCATGATAGGCTGTTTAGAGAGGCCTGCACTTCAAGAATGTAAAGAGAAGAGGATATTATGGAAGTATATTAAAGCTAGGTTATCAGTTATTTATCCATCTTCATTATTGATTGGCCTTTTCAGATTGCCAAGAATTGTCTTTATTCACTTCTTTCTGCTCTTTTGTGGTTCCATCGCGTACCCCACTGCTTATTAGATGAGCATTTGATGATAAATTATCTGTCATGCCCTTCCCTCATTTTGGTGCAATTCCTGACAAAGTATTCACTGCTGGATGCAAACTTCTAAATCAGATGGCCCTCCATTTTTGAGTGCTTCATTGGGGATCTATGTATATGTGTGTAGAAAGTATTCTTTACTAACATGCTGAGATACTTTAACAGCTAGTCAAACAGTGATGAATATAAATGAATGTGAGCATTTAACATATGCATCCGAAAACTTCTTTTATTGTCAAAAGTTTGGCCAATGACCATTGATCATGGTCGAGAATCACCAGTGGATGGGAATCGGTGGTAGCCGGGCCAATTAATGCCTGGAGTGGGGAATCGGCCTAATTCAAAGAACTAGTTGAGCCACTCAACGAACTGGGCCATTCTGTAGAACAAAATTGTTTTTCTACCAATTTTAGTTTTATTATTTTCAATTTCTTAAATTTTCAATTTAACTTTTTTTTTTTTTTCTTTTGGGCTGATTCCCATACGAAAGCATCAATCTGATCCCACCAGGATTGATGATCCAGAATAGCCCACCGACTGATCTATGTATTAAAACACTAGGCAAAGCAGATCACTGTGGAGTGCTGAAAAAGAAATGTGGAGTGATGAAGGATATGCTTTGTGCAGAAGGAAACACCGAAACATGCGTTAATGCAAATGTTCCTCAACTGCTCTTGCTATTTGCATACACTTCTCTCAGTCAAAAAAACAGTGGGGACTATATATGATGGAACCATCCTATCCCCTTGTGCCTATTTGAGCGAATGATCAATAGTCCTAGAATCATTGCTTACTAGAAGGAAAAAGTTTATATACTTGTGAGGCCCTAAACCCATCGAATTACGGCGCTGCTTAAAATTTTATTAGATGTTTCGATGCTGAAAAACCCTTAATTTGATCATCTCGACTTCAAGATGTATAGATGTGGGAAAAAATAGATTTCTTAGTCTTAAAAATAGTATATATTGTAATATATTATTTAGGACAAATTTTCAAGATTTTTAGGTGTTCATAGATGTGTTCGATCTACATTATTTTTAAATTTTAAAAATTTATAAATAGATATGAAAATGAATTTTTAAGCTATCAAAAAGATATTTGATACTGAAATAATATATTTCAACAGTATTTAAGCATGCGCCTTACTTAGATTGTTTAGAGCTTCAGCCTTATGCAAACAGCACAAAAACTGAAAGAGTGCAAGAGAGACAAGGGGATAAGCTACTGCTAATGGATGTTTTGTTTTGGAGCCATCGACATACTACAGAAGAGGTGTATTTTAGAACGGATGCTGAAGAGAGATAAAGAGACCTTATTGGTGAAAAAATGCATGGATTTAAAGTTGGAAAATGGTTTGACACGGCTGCAGCCTTTGTCATTATATTACTCATCGAAAATTACAATTCAAGCCTTAGAAAACTTTTACATCGATCATCTCGGCTTCAACATTATAGTTGTGAAAAAAATTAGGATTTTAAGCTCTAAAAATAGTATATAATGTAACAAATTATCTAGAGATTCACAAGATTTGTACTATTTTTTGAGTTTTAGAACGTCAGAAATTAATTTTAGATCCTCATAGAGATTTTTGTTGTCAAAAGTATTTTCCAAACGAGGATTTGAGTTGAGGCTTTATTTTGTTTTCATAAAGCTTAGGCCTTATAGAAACTTCATCCTTTAAAATTTGGGCAAGTAAAACTGCCATGTGAGTTGCTACTTATGAGCATTTATGTACCAGCCCATGTCACTCCATCACTCTCACTAAATAGCTAGTTAGCTGCTTACCTCTACTCAATCCATACTTATTGATCAATTTGATCAAGCTCAATAAGGGGCCACGGGCCCATTTTTATGAACAATTTTCCTTCGTATATATCCCTTTTATTCTCTCAAACCCTATTTACTCATTTCTTCCTCTTTTCTTGAATCTTGTTACTTGTGACTGAACTGGGTACTTTGGTACTTACATGAGCTTGTGCCTTTTCAAGTTAGCTACAGTCTTAACTGTTTTTTCTCTAGCATTCTTGTACTTCTTTTCTCTAATTGAGTTTTCAAATAATCAGAGTTGTGTATGTTGAGGTATATATCTAGAGGAGCAAGCTAGATTTGATAAAATGTGTAGACCGATTTTGACTTTTGTTCTAGTCAATGTTATAGAAAAACGGATCCCCCATCCTGAAAACTGGTTTGGATCGACAATTCGGATTGGTGGATTGGCCGAATCAGCCCGAACTGGCCTTAACAAATTCTCAAAAAATCACTATTTTTTATTTTTTAATATTTTTAATAAAATGACCATTACATTATGAATTTCTATTATTTTATTAAAAATACATAAAATATTGAAAAACCGTTTCATGTCTAAATGTTTGTTGATCATACCGAGAATCTTTATCTGTTTGAAATATTGGCCTCACTTGCTCTCCAGATTAGGCCTAGATATTTTCTTGTAAAGAGATGGGATATAATCACATACCTAATTGTTTGAGAGAGAGAGAATCAATATAACGGGCATTTCCATATAATAGCTTTTAAAGGTCTGCATATGAACAAAAAATATGTTGCACAAACCCGTTGCCATAGAGAGAGAGCGAGAGAGAGGTGATGGGACTATAGCATGTAATCCATTGTATACGTTTGTGTATAAATTGAAATATATATATAATGCACAAACCCATTTGTTGGGTCATTCTATCTCAATTTTTATAAAACTCAAAAAAAGGTCAAGATAAATTGCCCTCAAATGGACTAAATTCATAGTCGGTCCCTGAAGATGATTGGAGCATTTTTTGAGCTCTAGTATTGATTTGTTTTTAAATTGATTGTGATTGATTCGGAATAAATTTTCAGACCTATTGAAACTATTTAAAGAATAAATGGACCAAAAATAATGAAATATGGCACAAATGAAGAACATTTGTAGAATCTTACAGAGCAAAAGGAAGGTTAGCCCTTTTACGTTCACAAAATCCCATGTCTAGAAATGGCTTGCACCACCCAAGGTCAGAGCTTTCTTGTGGCTGGCCGTGCAAGATAAGGTGCTCACGATTGATAATTTCATCAAACGAGCTAAAATTTTGTCAAATATTTGTTTATTATGCAAGAATAACGCTGAAATAGGAGCCCATTTGTTCTTTTATTGCCCTTGTACACAACAAATTTGACATTGGTTTTTTGTCCAATTGGGTAATACTATGATAACGCCTGCGGCTGTACAAGAGATTATTTCAAATTTAACAATCCCGTAGCTGCCACCAACTTGTTTAGTTTTATGACAAATTTCAAAAGGCATGATTCTGCAATAAGTTTAGAAAGAAAGAAATAAAGAAGTGTTCGGTGGGACTTGTTTATCTGTTGGCTACGTGTTGGACAAGATCTTACCTTCCATTTGGCTATCATGTTCTATTACAAAAATAGGTAAAACTATTGAGATGGATGCGAGGAGAAATTTTTTAGATGTCCTTTGAAGCCTCGAGGGAGATGAAGGCCATCTTTGTTTGAGGTTTTCAAACTCAATTTTGATGGAAGTTTTCTAAAATACCCAAGTCCTACCGGATTTGGAGGAAGTTCTCTAAAAAAACCCAAGTCCTACTGGATTTGAAATGGTGAAAGATTGGATTGGAGTGGTGATCTTTTCTTATGCTGAACCTTTGAGTGTTAAAACTGCTAATTGTGCGGAAATGATGCTTCTTCATGAGCTAAAATTGTTCACTGCTAAAAATTTTGGCACGCTGGAACGTGATTCTCTTGATCCATTAAATGGTGCAAACTAAAGCAAACACGACCCTAAAAACTCCGATCTCTTTTGTTGAAAATTTTGGACTTAACTTGGACTTAACTAGACCTCTCATTTGCTCTTTTGTTCATATCTTTATTTTGGACTTAACTAAACCTCTCATTTGCTCTTTTGTTCTTTCATGAGGTCTTTTGTTCTTTCATGAGGCCAACCGCTTGGCAGATTCTCTTGCCAAAGGTGAAACCACTTTATTTGAGACAACTGTCTATAACTCACTCTTTTGTTCATGGCAGATTCTCTTGCCAAAGGTGGAACCACCTTATTTGAGACAACAGTCTCTAACTATGTAATTTCTTTTAGTTCCAAATAAATAAAGCTTTGAACTTCTATCAAAAAAACCATTATCCCACGTCTGGGATGGATGTGGGCGAGGTAAGCACTCATAAAAAGGAACAAAGGCCAGTGCTGGAAATAGTGACCCAGACGGGTGCTCAGCCCATACCCAAGCCAAGTATTTGCTCAGCCCGTAACCAAGCCAAGTACTCGGCCCAAATTGAGTAACCTGGTCCGAATTGGGCTGAGTTATGCCCAGCGCCAAAAAATGTTAAAAAATATCAAAAAAATTAGAAAATATCTTAAATTAAAATTAAAGAGCACTGAAAAATTTTGAAAAATTACATTGCCACCATACTGGCTTTAGCCCCATCCACGCCTGTACAAGAAAAACGCTAACTACATTAAGGCCTGGCCCCACCCGGCAAGAGGCTTAGGTAAAGAGAGGGTTTATAGAGAGAGCTATAGTTTTTATAAAGAGAGAGCAGCTTACCAATCGATTTGCTTTCTATAGAGAGACGGAGGCTTATGTAAAGGGAGGGTCTATAGAGAGAGCTATGGATTTTACAAAGAGAGCAGCTTACCAGTCGATTTGTTTTATTTTGTTTATTTGTTTTCTATAGAGAGACGGTCGATTTGCTTTCACCCCAACCAATGGGGCCAATGCCTTTACAGAGAGAGTGGCTTAGGCGGTCGATCAATTTTCAGAGAGAGATTCAATATGCTTTTACACCTGGGGCTTGCTTAGTTTCGGATACAATCTGCTTTTACACCTGGGGGCAGCTTAGTTTCAGCTGGCTACAGGCCCGAAATCACTATAATCAACGTCAAGCCTGCGGCCTGGCAGTGACCATTGGCCACCCTAAAGCTCAAAACCAGTATGGTACCAAGCTTCTCCTTTGTTAAAACCATCACCTCAACAAAAATCATCGGTACCAAGCTTCTCCTTTGCTAAAACCATCACCTCAACAAAAATCATCTGTACCAATTTTCTCCTATGCTAAAACCATCACCTCAACAAAAATCATCCATTATAATAAAGAACAAAGATTCCTCCCTTTTTGTGATCAAACTCAAAATTCTATTCTATTTTTTAGAATCACAGTCAAAAACCAACCTAAAACCAATGTTCAAACAAATAAAAAACCAACCTAAAAACCAGTTGGTAAGGTAATAACTTGATGGCCTTGAAATAAAGCAAAGGGCATTAAATGCTGATATCCAGCACCCAAACACTTGAAACCAAGTCCCATGAAAAATCCTAAAACTAACAGAAATTCAGAGATGAGAAGATGTAAATGCTGGGTCAGTTAGAACTTTCAGAGCATGACACAACTCCACATTTTTAAGGCATCATCGATGGGAAGTTTTGGACGTCCTTGGGCAAACGGGTTGATACCAAAAAGGTAGAGAGAGAGCAAAAAATCCTAACTAACTAAACCTTTTTTCTGAGAGAGATGCAAACTCTTGGTAATCAGAGTTTTAAAAAGTATTGTGAAATAAGACGCAAGTAATCCCATGTGATGGAGTCATACATTGAAAATCATTCACAAGTCTGCAACCACTAACTCATAGAAGCATTTTAAAAGCACACCCTGGTGATGTATTAGTACCTATTGTATCTGTCATAGCGCCTGCAACAAAAAGCACACCCTGGTGATGTATTAGTACCTATTGTATCTGTCATAGCGCCTGCAACAAAAAGTACACAAAAAATTTCAAGAAGGGAAAATTGCAACAAGAGAGGAAAGAGATTAACAAAATGCCGCAAACAAGAAATAACAAAACATTTCGTCAAAAAATAACACCAAATATCTTGTTCGACAATACTTTTGGTATTGTTCCTTCGATGACTCATATATATTGATCAAAGTATCCATTTGTAGAGCTTCAATAGCTGAAGACTATAGGGTAGTTGTGAGGTTTGCTTCCATGCATAACTTCCACAACAAGGTTAGCACAGTTGATATGCAGCCCAAGTGTTAAAAACACAATCTTGACAGTTAACTATGGATTGGTTGAAAATTGAAACTATTTATGTTGAAAGCCATAGTGCTAATACCCAAAGCAGTGAACCAAATACCTACTACAAACCAAGCAGCTGGAAAGAAATGCATGGCTCAAAAAGGAAGGCTCCTTCCTTTACTTATGGGCTAGGAAAATAAATAATGATCAGGAGAGCGGACACTAAGTTATAGAAGTTGGGTGAGAGTACTTTATTTTATGTCTAATTTCTAATTATTAAAATTTTAAATTATGATTTTATCATTAATCACTGCATATGGTATTCCCGGTCGAGGGCAGTCCAACAAGAAACAGAACTAAAACTAGATTTGCTAATCATAATCCTACTGAGCTTTCCCACCCACCCCACCCCGCCCATCCCATGTTAAAGGTGTATACACAAATTATCAAACTGGTCGGTGATGACCTTCAACTTTCCCTTAACCCATCCCATGTTAAACTTTCCCTTAACCCATCCCATGTTAAACTTTCCCTTAACCCGTCCCATTCCAGGTAAAAAAGATGGGTTGTGTTACGTAGGCAGTAAAATTTTGCCAAAACTCATCATGAATCTTAAAATGCAGCCAATCCCAATTGACGGGGAAAAAGCTATGATGATGATGATGACACAAATTATCAAACTGCACTTCGAAGGTATTAACATGCTTATAACACAATGTACGACGCAAACAGATCCATGCATAGAGGGCGCAGATTTTCAATACTTTCAGCAGCTTTTCAAATATTTCAAAACAATCTAATAACTGATTGTCATACCATCTGTTCCTATATTCATTTGTAGTGGTAAGCACTCATTTGTAGTGGTAAGCACGATGTGCAATGCAAGAGCCCAGGCTTTATCTCCCACTTGACATTTTACTTACCTAGTGTGCTTACATTAGCTATTCCAATGGGATCTAGTGCAGCAGCGTTCAACACATGACCATAATCAGCTCTCCCTCTCTCTCTCTCTCTCTCTCATCATGCACAGGCTACTCTCTCTCTCTCTCTCTAC